GAGTCGCCTTGAATATTTTGTTTGCCTAATTTCATCCAACAACTTATTCCGTTACTACTCTTTTTTCTCTTCCTCTTATTTCTGTTTCCAAACTTTAAATACTCAAAATATATTTTTTCAATAAATTGCGACTATTTGTGAGCAATTCATACTACTCTGTGAAAACTAAAAATGAATATCATGTTTTGAGATACAAATCCTATTCATGTAGTGCATTGCAAGTTATCTATTTACATTGATTGGTTCATTACTCAATGAATTGCCAGGATCATTTTGAAGTAAGATAAGTTGAAATGTCCTTATGAATGCTTATTTTATCAGTAAAATATTGAAAATTATTTATTTTTTCATTTTTAATTTATCAAAATCACTGCGCGCCTCCCTAAAAGGAAGCATTATGAATGCGAATGGGGCATTTGAGAAAATGCAAAGGCATTCTGGTCCCACATCAATGTTCAAAACGACGATGTGGACTTGACGAATCTAACACAATTCCTCACTCTCGATTGGAACTCGAATACAAAAAATATTCTTTGTCTCTTTAATTTTATATAAGATCCTATATATATTTTTTAAGAGTTTAATTACTTTTAATTTTATAACTCAAATACATTTAGTAATATAACTTTTTTTTTTTTTTAATTTTGTCATTCATATGAGGCGTGTCAAAAAACTAGTTCGATAATAAGAATGAAGATAAATAAAATATAATTTTAGATGAAGAAAAAATGGCATATATAAGATAATACGTAGAAATCAGTTGCAAATGGATTCGGGAAAGACTCCCTTCTTCATGTCATAGCAGTTATTTTTTAGAAATTCGACGAAAATGTGTTCTTCAATAAATATACGAAAAAGACAAACATAAAAGAGAATTCCATGCAATTAAATCTTCACTAATACTATGAACTTCTCATTGGGATTTGGGGCCACTCCAAAAGCGATAGAAACCTAATCCCTCTCTTAACTTCAAATTCAATTAGTAACATAATAGCCATTTTTTGAGGCAATCGTTTTGTTTTCTTTTTCTTGTGGTTTAATTTCTTTTTTCTCTTTATAGCTATTTGCTAGTAAATCAAAGGAAGTTGTTTTAGTTTAGTGCAAATAATATTTAAGTTTTGCGCCTGCAGTATACATGTGTATGCAGCAACAGACAAAGAAATTGTAGTTGACTCAACGTAGATGCATTTGACTTTTCTTGAAGAAACTTTTTAATAAAAAGTTGTTTAAAACAAAAACAACTTTGCGTAGTTGTTCCTTTTTTTTTTTCTTTTTTCTTTTTTCCTTTGAGGTCTTGTGAAAACTCCCAAATTTTCAACCAATACAAATTTCTGAAATTTTACGTGACAACTTATTTGACAACATTTTTTTACAAGAGAAATAGCTTGCTTAATAATTGCTTGTTCAAATGTTGAATGCTCCTCTCTCCAACTTAAATGCCAGTCAATTCCATTCTCTCTGAAGTTAAATAGCCAAAATGGTAGCAGACCCCACAATGAAAGATTGAAAGTGGCTTAACAATTTTTGTGCCCCAAAATTAATTAAAGCCACCAAACCTAGCCGTAGACATCTTTCATTTATGTCAAGACCAACCCCAGCAACAAATTTTAACTCAAAATGGGGAAAACATGTATGTCCAATTTATATGATTTGTCAAATTAACGATTATGAAAATGATTTCTAATATTTTTACTCCACCTTTTTTAGAGGACTCCATTCCATTGATATATGAATTTGGATTCATAAGTGTATTGGACAAAATCTGACCGTTACAACCGAAACGACCAACGTCCCTCCTAAGTGACCGGGCAGTGAAAAATAACGAAGCCCACTTTGTATCCCTTTCCAGACATCCGTCGAGTCGGAAGAGCAGCGCCTAAAGGGACGACCAAGACACATTGGAGGCAAGAGGGCATCGGACCAAGTAAAGGGAAAAAGTGCCTTGACTATAATAGTAAGGGAAAACCTTCGATTAAAGGGCTCTCCCCCTGTTCTCTCCAGATCTTCTCATTTCTTGTAATCTTCTTAGGAGAGAAACAATACACAGAAGAATAATAGGTAAAGTTACCTCCTGCATCGATCAACGAGAATTTCAATGTACAATTTTAATAAGATCTACTGTACTTCTTTCATCCTATACACTATCTATACTATCGGTTCTTTGATCTGGAATTTATTATGCTTGACTAAGATTTACCCCTTCATTTTATTTGATTGATTTATTCAAAAAAATTACGATATCTTTTGAGTCAAACAATAAGTGTAGGGGCAAGGAGGAGCACGTAGGAATGTCGATCACTACATTAGCCACTACTGGCTAAGATAAAGGAAACAACATCTTGTATAGGTTTGGCGTAGCTCAAAGAAGCAAGCCCCATTAGAGAAATTCAGCGCTAGCTAACGCTTTCTAGCTGGCGGTTATATATGTTAGTTGGAGGCTTGTAGTGTGCTTTCCCTCTTTCTCTCACTTTAGGAAGATTTTTCAGCATTTTTTTATGATGACATGGTCAAGAAAGTACAATACATCAGTGTAAATGATTTACTTTTTATGGGAAAAATAACTTAACAATTTGTGCTGCTTATATCGTGAAATATTTGTTTACTTCCCTTTATCGATCTACAATGGTATCTACTTGGCTAGAATGCGTTTCCTTTTCTGTACATTGGATTACTAATATTGATTATGGGGCTGTTTGGGACTGAGACTATTTGATTGGTCTGGCTGCTTAGAAAACTTCATGTACTATCATACTTAAAACATTATTTTAGGAGCGATCGAACTATATATGGAATAAGTTTTTTTTTTTTTTTATAGTACATATATTATAATAACTAGAAATCGTTTACCTTGTTACAAGTAGTTGAAAAGTTTCCACACATTGATGGATTATCACAAGCAATATTTTGATTACCTAAGGTTCTAAGCATATTACAAGCAGTAGTTGGTAAAGATTTTGCAAAAAGACAGGCTCCATTTTGTTCCATCGTTAGTTGTTGCTTCACAAAAAGAGGTGGGATTGCATGGAGTTTTGGGTTGTCCAAACTAAACTGCTTGAAGTTATTTATGGTAGCGTCTTTAGTTCGGAGATGCGCCACATGGTTGCCTTTACGAAAGTTATGTCGAAATCGAAGGTCCTTTTGCTGGTGCATTAAAGATCTGCATGCATGAACAATATTAGAACAAACTAAATGATCCCGTTGTATTGCATTGATGGCTTCTGTTGAGTCAGTTTCCACTTCAAGGGGAAAGAGCTTGAATTTTATTGCTAGTAGGAGTCCATCGTATATTGCCTGTAATTCAGTATGTAACGGAGAAATCGTAGTATGTTGTCTTTGGAAGCCAATGATCCACGTACCTATATGATCTGTGAACACTCCACCTAATCCTAAGTTTTTTGCACCATTTTTGTATGCACCATCAATGTTTAGTTTATACCAATATTTTTGGGGAGCATGCCAAGTTATGTTAACTGATATTTTTGTTTGAAGAGGATCATCTTTGGAATTTAGAAAGAGGAATTCCCTAGCTTGACCCATCATAATTTTCAATACAACAACAACAACAACAACCCAGTATAATCCCACTTAGTGGGGTCTGGGGAGGGTAGTGTGTACGCAGACCTTACCCCTACCCTGAGGTAGAGAGACTGTTTCCAAATAGACCCCCGGTATCCTTCCCTTCAAGAACTTCCCACCTTGCTCTTGAGGAGACTCGAACTCACAACCTCTTGGTTGGAAGTGGAGGTTACTTACCATCAGACCAACCCCTCTTGTCCATCATCATAATTTTCAATGGGGGTGGGAAATTAGTGTTGTTGTAATTGTTTTTGTTTCTGTTAGTCCAAATACCCCATAAAAGGAAAGGGAGTAGATCAGCCCATTCAATTGTAGGACATTGTGATATGAGATTTAATTCTTTTAAATTGATCAGCCATTGATTATGACTAAGGATATTTTGGATGTTGATGCCAAATGACTTCCATATTTGTTCAACACTTGGGCATTTTCGGAAGATGTGTGTAATTTTTTTCCATCTCTACGGCATATAGTGCATTGCGGATCAATATTAATACCAATGTGATGGAGATATTGACGATTAGGGATTCTGCCATGGAGACATTGCCATAGGAAGAATTTTATTTTATTGGAGCAGTGTAACTTCCATATCCAGGGGAAATCATGTTCCACAGGTGTTCAAAGCAACATAAGTGTGAGGAAGTGGATTGAATGTATTAATTATGGCGGAATACCTAAAAATAAACCCCTAAACTTGGAACGGAATTAGTTACAGTCCTAAATTATTCGTGGTCTTAATTACCCCCCTTAACTTGGCCTTTTGAGAGTCATTATGTGGCAAAGAGTGTTGGTGCACTCTCTTTTAAGCGCATAGAGTGAAGAAAAATTGAAAAATTAGCTTCGGTAAAGGGTCAAAATTGTCCTTGTACTATCGAATATTGTTTAAAAATATCCTCCATTATACTATTTGTAAGCATATAATTTTTGCCCTACATGAAAAAAATTCCTAAAAATAGACCAAAAATAATTTTCGTTGATTTTCTAGAAGTTTTTCTTTATTTAGTTGCATTTCATGCATTTTTTTATATTTTTAAAATCATAGAAAATCATAAAAAATTATCAAGTTTTAATTTCATGCCATCTTAAATTCAATTTTCATGTAGGAATTAATTTTATTAAGCAAAAAATTACAAAAATGGTCATTTTTACATATATAGATTTTAGCCTTTAAAATTAGCACTTTTCTTTAGTTTTAAGTTAATTAGTTGTTTTAATGTTAAAAATACATAAAGAATTTTAATTTCTACAAAATAGATTAATTTAGGACTTAATTAATTTAATTAGGATTTTTTTTAAAATTAAAGAAAAGAAAAGGGGAATTAAGCTATTTTTGGGTTTAATTTGGGATATGAGCCAATTTGCATGGCCCAATTCCCTCAAAAAATGAAAATGCCTAGCCACCTCTCTAACCTACTCAAACCCCTTGCCTTTAATAAAAACCTAGAATAGACGATATGAGAAGAAGAGAACACTCCTTTGAGAAAAGAAGGTATCAGTGCCGTTTACCCAAAAGAGGGAGGACTGCTCTCTACTATCACTTTTGAACGACACAAAAACAACCCCTCTTCTTCATCTCCCACTCCTTGCTGAAGATAAGAATATCCCATATGTTTTTGTTCCCTCAAAGCAAGCTCTTGGTCGAGCATGTGGTGTTACCCGACCTGTGATTGCTGCTTCTGTAACAAGCAACGAAGGAAGTCAATTGAAATCACAAATTCAACAATTGAAGACCATTATTTGGTCTGGATTTTGGCGTTTCGCTGCTGTCCAAACTGTTGCTGAGCTCCGGTTTTCGATTTCGGCTTTTATTCGACTTTTCCCCTTTTCTAAATTTGAACCTTGTGCAACGAGGTATGTTTTCCATAAAAATTGTTCTCAGATTCGCTTTATTATGGAATTATTGTTGTTATTTAGCTTGTCTACGAAAGAATGGTTTAGAATCCACATATGTGCATACTGAGTTTGTGTGTGTTCTTTAGTTGGTTCAAAGAAATAGCATGTGGTTTTAGATTTGATCTGAAGAAATGGGAATTTTGAAGTTGCACTCCATTTCCATTTTCAATATCTACTGTTAATGAAGAACTAGAGTTTCTAAGTCTACCAATGACTTGAATTTGTTACTGTTCTAATTGCTTTATTCCTTTTGGAATCAGAATGTTATTGCAATGCTATTGCTATGTGATGAAGATATTTACGGCTATGGATTACCATCCAATTAAACTTAATTGTCATAGTTACACTGATAGCTCGTCAAATTTCATTTTTCGTTGCTCTGTTTCTTGGTTTGCTTGTCTATTGTTAAGAACAAAAATATTCTCTGTATTGAAAAAATAATCTTATAAGGTATTTATATGGTGAGTCAGAATCAATAGAAAATATTCCAAATGAAGTGGGACAAATTCAGTGCTTTCTACACATTATTCAAGACTTGAGCTCTCAATTTTAATGGGCTGCCTTTAATTTGGAATGGATGGGGTTAAAAATCAGATTTCTTTCAAAATAGTAATGGGCCAAATATTAATGAAACACTACATATCTTTCCATAATGCAATAGCCTTGCAATAATCTCAAAAATAGTTTAGAAAATAATTTGAACATCATTGTTTGCTTTAGGCGCGATTATTTAACTATCGTGACTATGGGTACGGTTCCCGGGGCATAGTCATGGTACATAATCCCCAATTCGGGTGCGCATTTCATGTGACCCGATCATAACAACTTCGAATAATAATAAAATAAACATGTTGTAAATCACGGGGGCATTTCATGTAGCGTGATTTGCAATGTGTTCCAACACGGCAAGTGTACGACAATCGTAACTTGTTCAAGAAATAATTTCATAAAATGCGGTTTTAAATAATTAAAAGCGGTTATAAAGTTAAAAATGCGTAATAGGTTTAAAACATGTAATAAATCAGATAATAGGTCAAATATTAATAGTTGTGCGACCGTGCTAGAACCACGGAACCCGGGAATGCCTAACACCTTCTCCCGGGTTAACAGAATTCCTTACTTAGAATTTCTGATTTGCAGGCTTTTAAAATAAAGTCGAAATTTTCTCGATTTGGGATTTTAAAATAAACCGGTGACTTGGGACACCAAATAAACTATTCCAAGTGGCGACTCTGAAAAATAAATAAAATAATCCCATTTCGAATAATGTCACTTTAATTGGAAAAACTCCCTTATATCCACCCTCGGGCGGTAAAAAGGAGGTGTGACACTATTTGGTCAATTGTGTCCCTACCGTTATACTATTGTTCAAATCTACCCCTAATTTAGACGGTTGTCCACGTGTCACTCTCAAATTCAATTGATCTATCCCCAATTTAAAATACCCGATTCATCTCTTATCCGCCCCGTTACTTGACCCTAAACCCCTCTACCTCCAAAATAACCCACCAGACATGACCCCAACATCATTCTCTTCCCTCACATTACACCAAAATCGCCGGAAATGGTAGCTCACTGAAAAATTTCTCCAGGCAGTACTAACCTTTACTGTACCGGCCCCCTCTTTTTCATGTTTCGTCATCCAAACAGCAACCCCATTTCACCAAACCAGCAAACGGAACCGGTGAAACTTGCCGGAAAAATCAGAAGATCACCACCACCATCTACCTGTATTCTCTCACTATTTTCCCCTTGATATTTTCAACCAATGAAAACCGGCTAGATCCATTACAGATCTTGACAAAAAAATAGCTAAAATACCACTGCCTCACTCCCATCCTCTTTCATTTTTTTAGTCATTTTCTCTTTCTTTTTTGCAATTTGTTAGATCTAAAAACTTGGGAGGTTTCAGAATTTTTTGAACTTTGTTGGAAAATGGATCCTTGCCAGATCCCACTAAAAATTCTTGGATGTGCTCGTTATTTTTGGATTTCTGATGACCTTTAAATATATGCTCATGTTAATAAAAAAAATTTCTGGTGACCTTTAGAAATCTGCTCTGTGTTAATAGAAATCTTTTCGGCCACTGTGCAAAAATTTGCTTAAGACTTCTGCTAATAAGAAAGCACAATCACGTGTTGAACTTTCTGTTTAATTGTCCTCCCAACTTAATCTCATTTTCATTCATTTGTTCAAATAATAATTGTTAGGAACAACGTAAAAAAATCCATTTAATGATTGCTTGGAGCAACTTCGGAAACCTGCTCGTATTTGGTGGAGTTATGTTAGTTGGGGGGTTTAGAGTCGGGTAACGGAGCGGATAAGAGATGAATCGGGTATTTTAAATTGGAGATGGGTTAATTATGTGGCCAGACGTCTAAGTTAGGGGTAGACTCGAACAATAATATAACTGCATGGACACAATTGACCAAATAGTATAACGAAGGATATTTTTAAATTATATTCGATAGTACAGGGATAATTTTGACCCTTTCAAATAGGTTATTTTTTAACTTTTAATTGTCATATAGTCGTATATAATGATTTAATTATTACAACTAAGTATTTCTTCATCTTAACATAAAATGTGGGCTTTACTTTAACTTTCATTATTTTTAATTTCTTCTAAGATATAATGTCTATTTGTTCCAACTGCATATTTTTTTTTTGTTGCTTTTTGGTTGAATTTGTAAAACGTTTGGTAGGAACTCCATCATTTTAGCCAAATAAAAAACTTTTAGCAAAAATAACAGAGTACCAGTTGTGTATATTTCCTATTTTTTTCTTTATATATAATGTCTATTTGTTCCAACTGCATATTTTTTTTTTGTTGCTTTTTGGTTGAATTTGTAAAACGTTTGGTAGGAACTCCATCATTTTAGCCAAATAAAAAACTTTTAGCAAAAATAACAGAGTACCAGTTGTGTATATTTCCTATTTTTTTCTTTATATATAATGTCTATTTAATTTAATTATGTATTTTTATTTTCGAGTCAAACCAATAAAAAAGAATTGGCCATAGCTCCACTATTTTTTACCAAATAAAAAAAGTATAGCCAAAATAATGAACTTGCAATTGTACACTCTTTTTATTTCTTTTTTTGATGCAATGATTATTTATTTCAACCGTATATTCAAGTAAAATCTGTAAAAAAATATATTTTTAGAGCACCATAATTTAGAGCTATATAAAAAATTATAGCCAAAATTATAAATTTCAAGCTTTGTATTTTTTTTATAACTTTTTAGATGCCTTGACTATTTATTTCAATTTTAATAATCTTTATTTTCAGGTCAAATTCAAAAAAAAAACAAACAAACTAAAACATTATTATTTTTAGCCAAATAAAAAAATTATCCTAAATAATGTAGTTCTATCCAAGTTTTATTATAAATTTTATTTGGAAAGAGTTATCTAAAAATTTTAAAATATATTTTATTTTACAAAAAAATGCCACATAGAAAGAAAAATTCACATGGCAGGCAAGTGCATGCCACTTTCCTGGGATCAAACCATCCAAGGGGGTAACCACTATCGAATTCAATAACTAAGCATAGAGGGGTAATTCACATGCCACTTTCCTGGGATCAGACCATCCAAGGGGGTAACCACTATCGAATTCAATAACTAAGCATAGAGGGGTAATTCACATGCCACTTTCCTGGGATCAGACCATCCAAGGGGGTAACCACTATCGAATTCAATAACTAAGCATAGAGGGGTAATTAAGACCATATATAGTTCAAGAATGTAACCAATAATGCATGCCAAGTTTAGGGGGTATTAAGTTATTTTGCCATTAATTATGGAAGAACTGAATTAAACATAGGGATTGCCTTTTAAAGCATTGACGATGCACAACATAATACACTGTTTAAACCATACACTGGTAGTTGCTATAATAGACAACTGAACTCTGGTTCGCTTGCAGCTTGATGCAACACTCACGGGCACAGGCGTTACTTCTGCTGCTTTGGAGCGTCCATTGCCATTTGTATGGGATGGCAAATCGTCAAAGCCCCAAAATTTAGCAGTTTTAACATCTTCTTAGCCATCAATCTTGAAAATTCTTCATGATCGTAATTCAATGTAGCTTTCTCCCCAAATTCTCTTGGAAGATTCTCAGCATCGAAAAATATCTTCATCAACTCCGTGCTCTCTTTGTTATTCGGATACACAAACTTTATCTTCGCAAATGTTTTTGCATCAATTAAATATTTTACAACCTGCAGAACAATGAACAGATTGTATTGACTTGTCAAAAAAAAGGGGTCTTCCTTAAACTTTTAATGAAGAGGGAAGAATCTAACCTTCCAAAATGCCTCGAAAAATCTAGGCGGACTATAAAGAACAACTATAGCAACCCTCTCGGGGTGCAAAAGGTAAATGACATCACGAGCAGTTTTAACGGAAATGTTGGTGTTTAATGAGCATATGTTGAAGTCAATCAACCAAGACATTTGTTCTTGGCCTTCTGGTAGGTTAAAGATAGCATTCTCCAACAGATAGACTAGATGACGAATGTTACCTTCTGGAGATGTATTCTGTTATCGCTTAAGTAGAGCAATGAGAATTGAGAATGTTAACCATTTGATATCAGATATAGAATGGATTTTATTTAAAGGTAAGATATCAAGAGTATTTAACCTGTTTCCCAGGTCTCATTATAAGTACGAGTCCGCCTAGTCGGTCACAGAAATTGGCTTTGGACACTTTGCCAGTTTCACCTTCACCTTCATGTGCTACTTTTCATGCTGATAAAGTGCGACATCGCCATTTCAGAATCATATTCCAAGATTATACCAAGTGACAGAAGCTAAGTTGACGACAAAAAAAAACGAAGTTGCTCTAGTAGTAATACTTAGTGCAGCAATAATCAAAACCCTTTGGGGTTCAATACAGACAAGACTTACCCATCGAATTTCTTCAGGGTTATAGGTAGATCTCCACTTGAGAGTGTCTTCAAGCATTTTCTTTGCCTTGTCAAGTTTCCAGTTTCGTGCTTCTAAGTATCGCCTCAGACACGCATCGGTGCAGAACTGTAAGCTACGTCCACATAGAGGTCCAAGAGCAGCCCTTAACTGGCTAATCTGTTTTGACTAAGAAAATTAGTTCCTGTTCTGTAACGTCAGAGTAGTAAATACGTAATTACTAATTCAGCTGCAGGTTATTTCAAGGTGGAAATACTAGCCTAATAATAGAGTACTTGTTAGTTTAACTTGTAAACGTTCTATCTTTATAATACTATATATGTCGTACGGGTTAATTTGAAGAATACTTGAAAGTAAACAAGCGTTTAAAAGAAATCACAAACAAGCAAGATTGCATTTTTCTGAGATTTGCCTGTTACCTTTGCATCACGGCTAGCAGAATCATTTGCCTGACTCGTGGGGCAAAGCTTTCTCCGAAACATGGTTCCTGAATAATAAGTAAATGAGTTATACGTAAGCTCTGAATTCCTGTTTCATCGTTATTAAGAAAAATTTAAGAGTAGTAAATCAAGAGTATCCTCAAAAAATGTCAACTTTCCACATTTTATTTTTGGATAGGTTCCAAAGGGATTTGGCAAAATTAGTTCAAGAGACATGGTTACCTAGGAATTATGTGTAGAAAGTTTTGCACTTGAAAGCTTTCCTGAAAGAGAGAAAAAATAATAATTAATTCTTGAACTAAACATAAAGTAATAAATGAGAGAGACAAAACCACGCATAGTTCTAGGGAAATCACGCAGAGTTGGTGATCTTTCATTTTACTAACTTTATTAAAGAGGGAAACGACCGGACATTGGAATTTTGACACGCTTGGAGTCTTCTCTTTTGGATGGATCTAACAAATACTTTGAAGAAAAACCAACTGAACTGCTGACTAAGAGTTGTTGGAAATTTCAACTAAAATTTTACGTAGTAATTATTTTTCCTACACCTTGCCGTTATAGGAAGGCACAGATAGTTCCTATGATATAGGTAGCATTTAAAAGCTTCCGAATTTAGGTAAAGATCAAATCTTAGGTGTTACGTCCATATTTGCCTTCGGCTATTCTTTTGGATCATTCCTGTACTAACTACTAATCCGATCCATAATAAGTGACCAATTTACTTTTTTATTCTATTCTTTTGTTCCAAAATAAGTGTCTATTTATATAATCAAGAAAAAATGTAATTTGTTTTTCTAAAAATACCCTTACGTACGTTTCCCTAAAAAGTCATTTACTCCTCACATTTGAGAAGAGAAGTAAGTACTACTACTATAATTATGGTGCAACATTTAATGAAGGGTAGTTTAGTCACACTAACTATTTTCGTTTAGAATTTAGTATTTTCTTAATGAGTGTGCCTAAAGCAAATTGGTCGTGGATCGGAGAAAGTAATATTTAACAACATTGACCATAAATTACCTACTTAATTCTATAATGTGTACACGGACCATTAGTATTAGATTCAGTATTGGTTAGAACTTTCTGCCCAAAAAAAGAAGAAGCAATAAATAAGTATGTCTATGGTAATTTCAAGAGGAGTATGATGCCTGCCTGTCGTCATTACAAGACGTATAGAGAAGCCAGCAAGAGTCTATCAAGAAACAACAATAACAATGACAAGTGAAATTTCACTGGTGAGGTCTGGGAAGGGTAGTGTGTACGCAGACTTTACCCCTACTTTGAAGGAGTAGAGCTCGGCCCAAGAAGACAAAAGGAGACAATATCAGTACCACCATAGAAATCATAGGAAAAATAGCAACAACATGAAAACCAGAAGATAGATGCAAAGTAACAATTGCCAGTAAATAAACCCAGCACTATAAGAAACGAAAGAGTAGTAAAACACAATTTGAGCTTCTCTACAGCCAGTCGCTTACACCTCCTTACCGGATCATCTGGGCTTCTCCTCTGTACATGCCCGAACCATCTGAGCTTCACTTCCCGCATCTTGTCATCAATGGGAGCCACGCGCACCTTCTCCCGCATATCATCATTCCTAATCTTATCCATCCTAGTGTTCCCGCACATCCACCTCAGCATCCGCATTTATGATACTTTCATCTTTTGGATATGAGAGTTCTTAACAGGCCAACACTCAGCCCCATACATCATGGTCGGTCTAACCACCGCTTTATAGAATTTACCTTTAAGTATCAGTGGTACTCTCTTGTCACACAGGACACCAAATGCTAACCTCCACTTCATCCATCCCACCCCAATACGGTGTGTGACATCCTCATTGATCTCCCCTCCCTCTCCCTCCCTGGATAACCGACCCAAGGTACTTGAAGCTACCTCTACTTGGGATGACCTGTGATTCAAGCCTCACATCCACGCCCACTTCCCTCGGCACAGCGCTGAACGTACACTCCAGGTATTCCGTCTTCGTCCTGCTAAGCTTGAAACCCTTAGACTCAGGAGTCTGTCTCCAAACCTCTAGTCTCTCGTTAATACCGACTCGCGACTCATCAATTAGAACTTTGTTATCAGCGAATAGTATACACCATGACACCTTCCCTTGAATATGGTGTGTTAACGCGTCCATCACCAGGGCAAATAAGAACGGACTGAGCGTAGAACATTGGTGTAACCCCCTAACAACCGAAAAATGCTTAGAGTCGCCTCCTACTGTCTTAACCGAGTCTTAGCCCCATCATAAATGTCCTTAATCGCCCTACTGTAGGCAACTGACACACCTTTTGCCTCCAAGCATCTCCAGAGAACTTCTCTAGGAACCTTGTCATACGCTTTCTCTAGGTCAATAAACACCATGTGCATATCCTTCTTCCTCTCCTTGTGCTATTCCACCAACCTCCTAACAAGGTGTATAGCTTCCGTAGTAGAACAACCCGACATGAACCTGAACCCTGTTGTCGGATACATACACCATCATCCTCACCCTCGCTTCAATCACCCTCTCCCAAACTTTCGTGGTATGATTCAGTAATTTGATACCCCTATAATTGCTACAACTCTGGATATCACCTTTGTTCTTATACAACGGAACCACCATTCTCCACCTTCACTCATCCGACATCCTCTTTGCCTTAAAAATAAAATTAAACAACCCAGTCAGCCACTCCAAACCTGCTCTCCCCACACAGTTCCAAAATTCCACCGAAATTTCATCTGGCCCGGTCGCTCTGCCCCTACTCATCTTACGCATAGCTCCCACAACCTCCTCAACATTGATGTGCCTGCAGTACCCAAAGTCACGGTGACTCTTGGAATGCTCTAGTTCACCTAGCATAATATCCCGATCCCCTTCTTCATTCAAAAGTTTATGAAAGTAAGTCTGTCATCTCCTCCTAATCTGGGCATCTTCCATCAATACTCTACCATCGTCGTCCTTGATGCATCTCACTTGGTCCAAAACCCGAGCTTTCCTTTCTCTCGTCTTGGCCAGCCGGAATAATTCCCCGCTTTTTTCCTTAGTTCCTCGTACATACGACCATAAGCCGCAGTCTTAGCCTGTCAAGAAAATACATACAAAAAATAATGTTGATTTTGAGTTATTCCCTGTCAAATTCCAATTCTTTATTCCACCGTAATTACAATGCTGATTGTACATTCACCCATTCTATCGATATCCTCCTTAACGAGCAACCGCCAAACACACCTTTCTCTTCATTAATGCTCATAATCATATTATTTGGTGTAACATCCGATGTAGATAAATTTTACCATTTGTATATCACTTGTATTACAGCTTACAAGGAAGCAATATGATCGCCCCTTCTGAATTTGGAAAGTTTAACCACTAGATACTCCTAGGAGTCATCTCTTGAAAAACAAAAAATAGAGCCAACGATCAGAATAAATCGTGCCGATCTCAACTCGAAAAATAATACTATACTGATGCTGTTGAATAGAAAAGTCTTAATTGAAAGGAAAACCTGTCAAAATGTACTAACGTACTCCTCAGTTTCAATTTACTCCTCAGTTTCAATTTATATGCACACCTTTCTTATAACTCATACAAGAAGAATGACACACTTCTATATTCGAAAAGAAATTAACTTTAAATTTAAAATTTTATTCATGATAAATAAATAATTTTTTTTAACTACGTAAATGTTATAGCCCAAACAAAGATATCAACCTTTAAGCGTTTTGCAAACTCACTGTAAAATCAAATTGCGTCACATTACAACTCGAGTTCTAATACACCAACTTCCCCAGAAGATCATATTTCTGGATAAAATTTGATACTCTAGAAAAACATACTCCACAGAGCAATACACAAAGATACGCGATCTCGAATTACAATTTGGCAAGTACAGCTAATCACACCCAACTATGCCTTATAAAAAGGACAATGCGGTCGTTGCAAATATAATCCGGTTTATAAGTCCGGAGTCGAATCCCACAGAGAACTAAGACTTAGCTACAACTGTTCACTATCACCAAGAAGACAAGCTTGAACAGTTCCTAACTTATAGATATTTAGATTCTTGTGTTTAACTAATTG